GACAATGATGTGAAATTCATTGGAAACGTCAGCTCAACTCATATCATTGTGGGCAAATTCTACGACCGGTCCTTCATCATCTTAGACGAAATATGACGAATACATCTCATTACACTGATTTACTGGTAGTCTCGAAACCCTACTCTCATACGAATATAAGCAACGTAGTCGATTGCTATAGCAAACATACGTTTGTTTCAGCGGCACTCCCACCAAAAAGAATATGATATAGCAAAGAGGCCTGACCTTCCTTGAAATTCACTTATGTCCTGTAACTCAAGGGTATTCGTGGCAGTGTAGCCGAGTGGTTAGCGTGTCAAGCTTCCATCCTGCACTGTCGCGGTAAAGGTACTCATGGCAGTGTAGCCGAGTGGTTAGCGTGTCAAGCTACCGTCCTGCACTGTCGCGGTTCGAATCAGTATTCGTGGCAGTGTAGCCGAGTGGTTAGCGTGTCAAGCTACCGTCCTGCACTGTCGCGGTTCAAATCCCGCTGACTCAAGGGTACTCGTGGCAGTGTAACCGAGTGGTTAGCGTGTCAAGCTACCGTCCTGAGCAGTGTAGCTGAGTGGTTAGCGTGTCAAGCTACCGTCCTGCACTGTCGCGGTTCGAATCCCGCTGAGGGGGTGTAGCCGAGTGTTTAGCGTGTCAAGCTACCGTCCTGCACTGTCGCGGTTCGAATCCCGCTGAGGGTGTTATAAGACCGATGCAAGGTCGAAACTGCAGTCCACTGGTGCCTGGATGAGAACAACTTTTGGGAAATCAAGGCTATGTGAAATTCAATGGAAACGTCAGCTCAACTCATATCATTGTGGGAAACTTCTACTACCAGTCCTTCATCATCTTAGAGGAAATAGGGTGAATACATCTCATTACAGTGTTATAATAGTCCCGAAAAGAGAATCAATTTTTTTCATTTTTATAATGGTATGATAGAGTTGCTTTACTATCATCATATCCTATCTTGAAATTGGCATTTTATGTATATTATCAAATTATAACTATACAGGAATGGATATGAATTGTGTTCACCTTATTTCGTCTGGGGTGATGAGGGAAATATAAGTTTGCTTCATCGACAATCCCAACACAGAATGTTATATGCAAAATGCCCGACCCTTCTGGAAATTCACATCTGCACTTGTGGCAATGTGGGGAAGTGGTTAACGTGTCGAGCTTATACCCTGCCCTGTCATGGTTAGAGTCCCGCTGGGATCGTTGATAAGACCTAGGCGAGGTCGAAACCTCAGTCCACTTCAGCCTAGATGAAAATAACTTTTGGTAAATAAAGATTATGTGAAATGCAATGGAAACATCATAGCTACTGATAGGATTGTGGGAAAATTCAACTACCAGTCCCCTCATCACCCCAAACGGTATAGGATGAATACACCTCATACATTTGATTTACTGATAGTCTTAAAACCCTACTTAAAATGAAAAATAAGTAGTCTCATCGATTGCTATAGCAAATATTAGTATGCTTCATCGGCAATCCCACCCCTGAATGTGATATGAGAAAATGCCTGGCTTTCCTTGAAATTCACATCTGCCTTCTGACCCAAGGGCGCTTATGTGAATGCGTCTTAGTGGTTAACGTGTCTAGATTACATGCTGCACTATTATGGTTGGGGTTTCGCTGGGGACGTTAATAGGACCTAGGCTAGGTCGATACCTCAGTCCAATTCAGCCTGGATGAGAATACCTTTTGCGTAAGCAAGGCTATGTAAAATTAAATGGAAACGTAATGTCTAGTCATATGATTATGGGGAAATTCAACTACCAGTCCTTTATCACCCTAAACGAAATGGGTGAACAGAAATCATACATCTTATTTACTGGTAGTCTCGAAAACATACTCAGAAAAACAAAATAAATGGATATGAAGACCAAGATGGTCGCAGTCTCATTTCGATATTTTGAAGTCGCAACTTGTTCACGACGGTAGGGAGACCTTGCGGAACGTATCAGTATTGTGCTTCCTGTCTTAATTGTCATTTTAATTTCCAGCATCGGACTGGCGACTTAGTACATTCCCAGACTTTTCGCCTCCATTGCAGTTGGCATAGTCTGTGAAAGACATTTTCTTCAACACTGACATACAATTCGTTGTTAACAATGGCCAATCTCACTTACGATGTCGAAGAATCGTCTGGGAATGTACCAAACCATCGATCCGATGATGAAAATTATCATGATTACTCAGATAGAGGATGTATGCCCGGGTATATTTCTCAAAATCATCCTCTCACCCTGACCAAGTTGCCAAAATGAGATAGTATCAACTAAAGAGGAAGTGATCTATTACTATTGCATTGAAGCTTCGCAGCTTTACAACAACATTAAAGTTAATTTCAATTCGCATACGAAAACTTGATGTTTACAATTTTGAATACTAATGTTGCTTACTGAGTCAGTTCACTTTTGGACATTCAAACCACACTAACTACTCACGAGCATTGGCCTCATCTGCTAGTCGTCTTTGTCTTACCTCTCAATGCCATTCGACAAATCGGCAGATATTTTACTCATTTTTGGCAATTTATACATTATACTTACTCTTGAGCCATTATTTCTATCAGCATTTTACTACGCCAACCTTTATTTGGTATATAAGCAAATTTCCTTTACATCCCACTTCCCCCCTACCCAAAACCACATTGTATTTAATCTACTCTTTCCTTATTCCGTCCCTTCCTGGCCAACAGATTCGGTGAACAGATCGGCCAGGGTGCGTATGGTCCTGTCTATCGAGGTGGACTAACTCTTGCAGGAACCTACGAAAACGGCCAGCCTACACCAGTCTATTTAAAGGCCCTGACCAATGGAACATCTGCTAATTTACAAGCTGATTTCCGTCGGGAGGCAAACGTGATGGCCGAGCTTAGACACCCGAATGTGCTCAGCCTTCTCGGTGTCAGTATGCAACAGGCCCCCTGGTAATACTTCCTTTGTCAGTAGCATTTTTTCTTTTCAAGATCTCTGGCAATTTAATCTTAATTGAGCTCCTCTAGCTTCAGGCCAAGAAGGGATATCAGCCAAATTACAGATTTATTGGAGAAAAACATTACCCTCATTTCCTCTTGTCAACGGAAGTGATATCAACACTTGAGTCACCCTAGATCACTAGAGCTGATTTAACGACTGTCAACTAAAATTTCATGCAATCATATGAGATGGCCTCACGATACCATTGAATTTCACTTGACATTGTCTCTCATTATGTTTTCTAATCTTAACTGGACGATAGCTTTGACTCTGTATCTTCGTCGCATCAGCATCGCCAACGGGATTCGAAAACGCGTCGTGCTCTTAAGATTGCGATACATGTCTACTCCGCTGCACAGCCATAGATAATAGTGAGTCACAGAGTAAATGTGACTTTAAAGGAAGGCACATTCGCATTTATCGTAAACTGCCAACAAGGCTAGCTTGTGTATGCTAGTTTATAAGCGTGGCGAGTATAGTTTGTGAATATCAACGTGTTTTTACTAGGAATTTTAGTCTTGAAACCTACTTATTATGTATATAAATAATGTCGTTTCTTTGGAAGTCTCATCTCCTGTGGTCACGTTGACAATTGGTACATTCTTCTATTAGTACATAAATCACATTAAGCGCCCGAGAGCGATTCAAGTCCTTATTCAATGTTTATTGCAAGTTTCCAAAAATATCAGAGGTATGAAGACCAAGATGGTTTGGCCTTTTGTGTGGTCGCAAAAATGCTTAACTCGAATAGGAAGTCATGTCATCTAAGGTCAAACTAACACTTATTTGAGACCGGCACAAGCCGAGAGTTTCATAAGGTCAATACACACAAGGTTGGTCCTTCGAACAAATTAACTGCAGGACAGGGTTGTTAGGCTTTTGGCAGGTCAATGCAATATGATAAGAATAGTCTTCAATAGTGCCAGTAATTCTAGAATAAGAAATTGGTCATCATAGTTCACTTTAGGTGATTTAGGTCTTGATAATTGAGTTTTCCCACACTGAAATCAGTAGACCTCGATATGCCATTAAATTTCGCATAAATTAGCTTCCCCAAACGGTGGGCTGCAGTTTCGACCTCGAATCCCGAAGAGATTCAATACCAACTTGTGTTTGACCGGACAAATAGTAGTATCAAAGGCTACTCGTTTCGCAAGTAATTAACGTCATTGATTACATTGACAAACTTTTATTTGATTACTCGACAATTTCACCTTAAAATGTGAGTTCTGAAAGGTCCGGCTTGCCCAGAATGTCGCATCTACTTTGTGGCTCACCGGCACCCGTGGATGTTTAATGGGGTCGTAAGCTTCGCCACGATATTCCTGCGCCGGCGTTGAATCCCGTTTTGCGTCCTGTCAAGGCCCAGGCTGATACAGACCATCTTGAATGTGATAAGCTTTTGGGAGGCAAAGTTAAGCGAAATGCAATGGTGCCGAGATGCATAATCGTCTCGTTGTGGGAAAAACGCAACTATCAGTCCTTAATGAGGGGGAAAATTACTCTATTGACGTATCTCATCTAAATCGCATCAGCATCCCCAAAGGGGTTCGATATCGGATCGGGAGTGACGTGAAAATCTTAACATTCCACTATGTGGCTACAGGTACCAGAATTGCACCGAGCGCATACAACATTCACGCCAAACTAGGTCTCTCTCGGCTTACAGTAATGGAAGTATATAT